ATGGCATTTCTAGATAATTACGAAGATGTCATCAAAGCACTGAGAACAGCGTCATCTGAGTTTGGAACCAACGTAGCATCACGAGCAACTGGGCTGTTAAAGTTTCTAAAGTCAGCAAAGTGCATACTAGGCTTGGTAGCTGCACTGCCTATCATCAAGTGTCTTGAAAATTTTAACAAGGCTTTGCAAGGTAATACCATTAATATCTCCGGTATGCTTGAAGCTGCTGAGAGGGTGAAAAATGAGCTGCAGCGACTTCGTTCGGAAGAAACCTTCAGGGAGGTTTTCAAAGATACAGAGGAGAAGATAGAGAAGTGGAAACTTGACCCTCTGGTTATACGCAAACACAGGATTCCATCCAGGTATGACACAGGTGGAGGAGAATCTGATCTGTCAATTGAAGGATTGTACAGGAGTGAATACTATAAGGTCCTGGACAGTGCAAGTGTCAACATGATAAACTACTTTACTTCCACAGACATAGAAGAGCAACAGAGGTTGGCGTCAATGTTACTTGAAGGTGAATACCACCAAGATTTGGTGAACAAGTATCCAGAGCTATCCGACTCACTTCGATTAAACATATCTTTCTTCTACAGTCAGTACCAAGCATCATCTGTAGAGGAATACAGAACGATTAATACTCGTCTCTCCTGCCAGCTCTGTAGAAGCAGAGCGATCTTTCAGTACTCTTCGGCGTATGAAGACATGGCTTCGTAGCACTATGACTCAGCAGAGGTTAAACCATCTTATGGTTTCTAATGTCCATCGTGAACGTCTGCAACAGGTAAACATCAGAGAAATAGCAGAGGAGTTTGTCAGCAACTCAGACTCCAGACGCCGTACTTTTGGAAGGTTTGATTAGTCTAATTTCTCGAGCAACATGTGTTACATGCCTCTAAATAATTATATTTTATTTGATTATGTATAATCATTTCATAAGTTAAAGCAGTTAACTGGATAAATATGATAATATAATAAAAATGATAAACAATAATCAACCTGGTGTGTGTCTAGGCCTGGTTATGTGTGGAATTACCTAGAACAATGAGAAAGAAAAAAGGAGAAAACAGAACATTTCGGAACATTCTATTGAACATGTTTTGTAAACAACTCCGAATATGGAGATCCCCAAAATGCAAGTCATGGATGGATAGGCCACGTGATTGGGTAATGTGTAATAAAATTCATCGAAAGTTATCTGAAAGGTATGCACCAAATGAATTCATTTTAGTTGCATTTTTCAAAAATGTCTACCTTCTGAGGGGGGCACATGCCGCACATCCCTTCTCAGACACCCCCCTGTCTGCGCAACCGCGGACATTGGCCGCTTACGCGGCCGCAAAAGTGTCCCCCCCACTTTTCAGAATGGATCGACGCCCCTGCCTGTAGTCCATACTGCATTGTTGTAATGTACCACAAAAATACTTCCGTTGCTTACATGTCTAATGGCGCTATACTATAGAGAATATGCAATGGTCGCTGTTTTTGTTACGTGGCAAGGGCACTATTTAGCGACCGTATGCGATAAACGTCGTGGGACTTAAATACATGGACCAATTTTGAGTAATAATGTTTGGGTATCACAGTATACATTCTAGTTCAACAAAAACATATATACGGCGCTAAACTTAAATAGTTCTAACTGTGTATAGGCACAACCAAATGAAACAACAAAATGTAACATTACCACTTACCATAGATATTTCATAATTCAATAGGTGTGTATTTTAGCACGAGAGTGTTATTTTATCTTCACCGACAAAGAATGGCGAAACGAAAGGCAGCAGAATCACGCAAAACTCGTAGTACTCTGCCCAAGGTTACACAGTCTTAAACCTCAAAGGTCATGTCAGTAACATACAGTATGTAGAGATTTACACCCTGGAACGTTTACGACGTTTGTTATTTATTGCCTGGAATATAACCCTAATGCATCATTCATTAAAACTGGCTGTGGGTTGAACGAATGTTCCATCCAAACTTTTAGGAATCATTAATACGGTGTGCGACGGTGATGCTGTCTACATCCTTCTGGAACTAGTGATTTTGCAAAATTAGTTCTTTCTTCATTTCCGTCTCAGTTTCCTTTTCATTATATATGTAGTAGAGGGGTTACGCCGGTATCCAGAATGCATTTCGGGTAACCCGTGAGACAATATAGATATAAATACAAATGGCGGTGTGTTGTAAACCAATTTGGGAATTAATAATGTCTATCTGTGTAATTATATTTTTACTGAAAATGTCTGGCACATCAAAGTTACACATTCTGTTGAGGTGAAATCACATTAAGACAGCTATAGTAAAATACAAGCAAAATAACGGAGATTTGCTCTTAATGAATGCCCTTGCTAATATTTTAATCAAGCAAGTTCTAAAAGCGAAACATTAAAATAATTTAGAATCATTACGGTTAGTCCGACAACAAACTCTGTAAAGAACAAATCCTAAAGTATAGATATCTTGACACGTGATTCAGAAGTGTTCACACATACAATTCTAGAACCATTAATAAACTGCACAACCAAAAAGTAATTATATAATTCATATCGGTCAGTTATATAATATAATGACGATCAGCAATAAGGATGTAAACGAAAGAACTAATGTTCCTGACGTTGAATACTAAAGCCAATTAATACAACCAAATATTTATTTAATTGTACGAAAGACTGAATACGAAATATTCGACTGAACAAGTAAAATATTACACAATATTACCTATCGTCACTAATACAAAATATACGTAAAAAACTTACCAAGCTGAACAAATGTAATATTAGTTTGATAGTTTATGACAAATATTAACATTGACATGACAGTTGTTTCAAATGTTTGCAGATGTACAGGTGTGTTTTTCTATGCTAGATTAGATAATACTTACAATCAGTATGGTATGTTACTGTCAGATATCCATTAAGCATTTCTGAATGAAAGGCCAGAAATTAATAATTGGATAGCACTCAAAAAGCTTTCGAGTAACGATTTATTCAACAAAACCATGTTCACTTTAAATTAATAAAAATAGAAGAAGATGCTCTATTCTTATAAATGTTATTTCCTGCCTGGCTCTATATTTTTTGCGTTTGTTAAACTGACAGAAATTTGACAGGTTTTTTGTGGTCCATTACGCGGTCTTTCTCTTTTCATTTGAAGTGAAACATATTATGAAGCTACTAAAAAGTTTATTTTTAAAACATTACCGCATTTTCTGTGTCTTAAAAACTATTGAACATTAATTTACTGTTGAACAACAACACCAGTGTCAGATCTAAGAAATACACATAGTGGATTCCACTTTTTCAGACACGACGTTGATATTATTATAATGCCGGATCTAGTAATGATCATATATGAAAATTAGTAATGGGTACATTGTCATTGACGATAACTATATAATTTTTATTTATAAAACTAAATAAGAGACAAGTTGTCTTTTATTTAGTTTTATGCGTCATTCAAGATGGCGGCCCCCATATAGTAAATATCGTATTTATTTTATTATCACGTGTGCGCCAGCTGACTGTGCACCGCCCATATTTTACTGTAAACTCGTTAACAACTTCACTATCAGCTAGTTCAGCAGGGGCTACAAAATTGAAGTAACTTTACTAAGTAATAAATGTTTTCCATTTCCAGAAAGGACATAGGTCACTATCGTGGCCTAAAACTTGCCATTTCTCATGGATTACAGTAATTTTCTTTTAGTAATACAATAAAAATTAAATTATATTACCCGGTATTATCAGTATAAATGTAAACAAAAATATAAATAAAAGAAACAGAGTACAGAATAAGAGTAACAAACCTTCTCTCATTGTTTCCAAATTTTGCTTCTGTCTCATATTGCGTTCAACATATTCACCTTTCTTCAATTTTTTTTACCAGTTCTTCATTCTCAATTTTATTTAGAGAACGTTTCCTTCCAGTATGTTTCTTTGCAGGGGGGGGGTTCTATCTCCTTTTCAACAGCACCTGTTTTCTGTACAATTTTGATTATTGGCGACTCCTTCACAAAAGCTGTCTCCTTCTGTAAAACATTCACTGCAATAACACACCAATATTACTTTAACACAATCACAGAAGAAGTAAAAAAAACACATATAGCATATGGCAACAAACATCCATAGGTGTGATTGTGTTAATACAACAATTCTTACAAATTTGCAAGTTAAACCAATACTAACTATCAGTTCTATATTTTTATCTTGCAATAATGATCCCTCAATGGAACCTAATAGTGGTCTCTCATTCTCCCACAGGGGTTGTGTATTGATAGAATATGCTTTGGTTCCATCAGTTGTATTTTTCACTAATCTGCTGATTTTCACATCAATAGATGAGGCAATTTCACGTTTATCTGCTTCCTCTTGAAGACCAGCATATGAGATAATATGTTTGAGACAACACTGAAGATTAGTATGCTCCGTAAACATAGGCACCCTAATTCGCTCTTTTCCAACAACAAATCTGGAACTTGTTCCATATAGCTGATAGGTCCAAATAATAAACTACACATTATATGCACATCATCATTTTGTCTTGATGTAGGTTTCCCTGTAGTGAAAATATACCACAAAATGACTATCATGACTAGTTTAATATAACACCATGAAACAAAACGAAACAATTATGCACATGCGTAATATGGACATTCTATGCGACTTGTGTGGCAAATTGAATACAAAAATGTCTTATTAATATAATGCATCTCCTTTGTCAGAATCAATTAATACTCAAAAATATGTAATATATTTCAGACCAGAAAGCTGAAAAACAGGATTTTGGAGATCATTTTAGATCATCGTATACCACCCAGCAAACAACTGAATACACGTGATATATTCGATTCGATTTCTGTACATAGAAAATATAAATAAAAAACATATTCACCGGAAACAAATGAACAGTTAGATAAGTGAATCTTAGTACCATGGGGACTGGTGAAGTTCGTACTTTTATAAATAGAATTCTGAAAACAACTTACCTCTTCAAGTTCTGTCTCCCCGCGTTGTTGATCAATGTGCTCCGCTATTGTTGAGTTGTCAACATCATAGCGTTGATGGCGGGCTTTATCAATCGCCCAATTGAAATTGAATTGAGACCAACCCAAGTCACGTAATCTGTGCCTTGCTTGACAGAATAGTATATTTTTGTACGCAAATTTTAAATTACTTCTGATTTTAGCTCTAGACAGCACGAATGGTGTTGTTTTGAAAGTGTGCTTCTCCAAAATATTTTAACATTATCTTTTATTCAGGGTTTGTCGAAATTATGATATGTTCCTGATAACATTATCTACGTGAATGTTATTCATATACATATGCTGCTCATTAAAAACAATAATGTATGTTTTCTAAATAATTTACTAACATGATAACAATGGCTTATCTCCAACCATTCAACAAACAGGTGTATTTTTTTTTTATAAAACATACACTTAAATAATTATGTGTTGACATTTAAAAAAAATAATAGTTAGTATTTTTTCATTTCAAGTTTTATTATATTTTTTTCTGAACCTGACCTTCTTAATTTATCTCACTCTAACATATGCAGTCGTTACCTGTTCTAGGGAGAGGTGCTCGAGATAGAAGTTGAATACGTGAAAGAATGGTTAATTATTTGGAAAATTATGACATTTATGTGCACAAATTTCAACCACAAATTCAGGTCTGCGTACTGTCTAAAAGTATGTATCTACCACGGATTATCAAAATAAGATGTGTAGTTGTTAAGATATCGGTGGAACAGACTGACAGACACAGACAAGCATATTTAAGTTCATGAGCAAATGTGTCAGAACACTCGATTGATTCCATACAAGGATTAGATCTCCATATTTTCCTCATTGGGCAGAAAGAAGAGTATAAGCTTAGTCGTTACCAAGCTTTAACTAGGTAATTTGTTTGGTGATTTGAAGGTATCGAAGGAGTCACCGGCGGTATTTAGTGCAAGTCGCGCGCAGGTTAAAACTCCTACTCGTGACTTCATTAGAAAAGCCATTGAATTGTGGGAAAATCAATGTTTATCAACACAAATATTGAATATGCGCGGCGCGACGACTGTGTTATTAAACCTAATGAATTACCTTTTTATATTTTAAACTTGCTGGATAAAAATTACGATTCAATTGACGCGAACATTGATGATACACAGAAATACACGAAAATAATTTCCACAATGCCGAAATATGGGTGTGAAATTGGTAAGTTTATTCCAAAGCAAATGCGAGCTGAAAGGGGACAACTTGTGTAAATTCGTTGGTCTTGAGGGCGTTGTTCATTAACATTAAACAATCAAAATCGATTCCCGTTCCGCTGCAGATCAACAGTATAACGTACGTTATTAGGCGTAGTTATTAGAATGAGCTATGCTAAAGAATAAGAGCGTGAGTGTCCTCACTGTTAAAAGACGTTCATATACGCTATGATGGTGTAAGAAGTAGATATTATCACACAAGAATGTGACAACCCCATGCGGAGAATATAGAGATATTAGAGCCATTCTCAGTTTTCTTTATGAACTTGCTCCGCACACTGGAAATGTCATGTAACAATACACATACATTCGTGGAACACCCTATAGCTAACGAAGGGAACTGTTAACTTCCAATTGTTAAAAAAAATGAATGCAGCTGATTTATTTACGACTGATTATAAATCTTATTTAACGTATTCTTTCTTTGAAGAAAGTTAAACCAGTCTTCCTTCGGGATAATGGTGCATATGCGTTATTCGCTGATTATAGTCAAGTACGGCATCCATAATTGCACCGAGAGATCAAAGAAACCGCACATAAAGCAACTTTCTATTATAATAATAATAATAATATTATAATAATAATATTTTGTGTTCACTGCGGGATATTGATGTGAAAAGCATAATAACAGATATTAATGAAAGAATGGTAAGTAAAATGTAATTAATACTGCAATATATAATAAGCGACAATATAAAATAATAAAGACAAGTTTATAAGATGAGAAAATATGACTTATTATTTTGCAGATGAAAAAAATCAATACTTTCGCCCACTCTAATAAGTATAGCATTTATGAATGAATTTTCCTGACTGAACTGTTTTTTGTACATTTAGATATTTTATAAAGCTGTTTTAAAAATTACGTCGCCATAGCGTTTGACAGTTGAGCAAGAAAATGTTTTTCATCTTCGATTTTATCAAATATTTTTTCAGCAGTTATGATTGTTCTAAATAATCATGTCGATTACTAACCATATACTTCACCAGTCACGCATGCTTAGGTTCGTAGCTACGATGTTTCACGGGTGAATTTTCAAAATATCATATGATTTTTTTTCTCGCTGACAACACTTGATAAAAGTATATTTGGTGTCCATTGGTGTAATGTATGAGACGGGTTTGAAAGCAGTGTCTTTTATTTTAAAATAAAACACGATTGGAATATATATTTCCGATTATAATATTGCTATATTTAAAAACTTTTTTTTCAGGTCAATGCTGTTTGCGTGTTTTTATCTATGTGCCCGTGATTCTATGTTTGTCCTATAGCCACCTGTCGTATCATTAGGTTGCCAGGAAGCAAGTCAGAGTTTAGCCGTATGCTCAAACAACAGTGTTTGTAAATAATCATATACTATCAGGTCAGCGTATGCCGTCACACGATATCAAATGAGCTAGTACCTATTCGCTATAGCGCTAAGTCATCCACGTCTACGGTTGAATTGAAGCTATTAATAAAGGGTATTTTTATTTCATCGACGTGTGTCTAAAGCAAGAATGTAACCGATATATACACGATTAATCAAATTGATTTGGAATGTCATTTTCAATTATACGCCCATTATACGGTTTACATTAGAAACAGAAAAATCCCAACGCTGTACAATCGATATTTTATTAAATGCGCATGCGTCGACATTGCTATTTCGTCGTGACGTTCGGCCGTTCAGCTATATTTGTGCTTCAGTGGGAATATAACGCTTCAAGAATCACAGAACCGTGCGTGTTTTGTACACGAGCGAAGCTTAGTGAGAGGTAGGTGAGACGACACTTTCGATATGTGCTCTCTTTAAATGATTTCAAAATCGAACCAGATGTTTTTCATTGTATTCATTGTGTCAGGGAGTTGGTATTTTGGTGACCCTTGTCAGTATTAACTGTAGCTGTGGTTATGGTTACTCTCAAGTGCTCCGTGTTGACATAAAGGCGTGCAATGTTTCTCCTGACTCACACATCGTTTCTGGCTTATATAAATAGACTGTCCTACTAAACACAGACTTATATAAGCCATATTGTTTTTAATTCTGATGTGTATATTTGCCTTTCAACTCCACTATTAATAATCGTCCCGCATTCTGGGATGTGTATCTGATCGCATGGCAAGTTTTTACTTGTTCGACTTTTCTTTTCCAAAGCTGAGTTTATATAACAGATTTATTTTCCATGGCGACGGAAATTTGTAGACATTAAAATCAGTAACAAGCAAAGTAGTGGGGTTAAGTCGAAAGCTTCAAAAGTGGAGGTAGGTGTGAATTGATGTCAGGTATAAGAAAGATTATTTTTTTTTTTACAACCTCAAAGCACATATGTATGGGGGAAATGCTCTTCGGATACTAAGAAAGTAAGGAAATAGCTAAAATCGATAAAAACGTGCCAGTTATCACGTCTGCATTTTATCGATTGATAGTAAATTAGTAAATTGAAGTGGCACAGCCATCGTGCTTTATAGAGCAGTGGCCGTGTTGCTGCCTTCAATATAAATGCGGTGGCGAATTGTACAACGTTTGTAAACTACAGCGAAGCATTAAACCACGGTCTCAGTCCTGTATACCACGACATTTTGCACACTTTACACACTAGCGTCAGCAAATTTGTATATCTAGTGGATTGTGAAAACTTAATTGGTGCATCCAGATTCAGTGATGGTTTATTGCCATTATATGCCACCTTCATTTTATATGTACATCTCAGACATTGATATACGTTTAAAACATAGAAAATCATATACTAATGTGATATAGCGCCCGATACGGTATACTTGCAACTGTGGTAAGATAAAATAGGACCCAGGAACTTGTATACAGCGACTACAGATACATTGAGCGTTGGGGAAAATTCTCACCGGTTTGAATTTTATTAGCGTAGTTGATTGTAAGTGGAAACGTTGGTATACGTAAAATCGCCATATCATTTTTGAAAAATTGGATTTCTTAAAGGCACATGTCGAATTCTGTTGACAGCAAGATCTACCCTACCGCTATTCACGTTTGTGGCCTATCAAAAATGTTTTGTTGTTGTTTTTAAATGTTTTGCCGTCGAACGGGAGTTAAAGCGACGACTTAGGGGCATTTTTATTTGCGTGCATGAGGAGGTCCAACTTCTGTTCACTATTCTAGGAAGCAAAACATATATATTTGATAATTTCAAAAGGGGTTACGAAGGTGTCTATGTTGGCGCCTCCCCCATTAATCCGGCGAGCGTGTTATAGTTACCGACAAACTATCATACCCTGGTGGTCAGAAGTCAGAGTTGTATTCGTAGATGTGGATATTGCTAAATCAGAACTATATTAATATGGATGTACTGATACAATAGAGATAGTGGTCAAAGTTGTGATCGCGGATTGATAGACCCTACTCGGGCTGATATCAATACAGTTGAGAATGAATATACGAGTTGGGATGTTCCATGTTTTGTGAAATGTAACCTATATTAAAGTTTATTGTTAGAAAACATAAATTGTTCGGTAGTTTTTGGGACGAGTTGAGATTTTCCATGTTTTGCGAAATGTAACTACATGTACTATTAAAAAAAAAGTCAAAAAAGCGTTCGATAGTTTTTGGGACAAAATAACAAAACAGTATTTGGTTAACACATTCTAAAATATAGTAAGAACGTTAACAGTCACTATCTGTTGTCAGTATCACCCGTGCCAAATAAAATCATATATCCGCTCCAATCTACCTCTGCTCCACGAGTCGACTAAGCTACATATTTAATAAGTGATTTATACCTTCATATATCGTGTACAAGGAACAAGAGACGATTGTCCGACGCAGAGCTTATTTTCAGACAGATTGCATATTTAATTAGCTGGTAGTACACATACCAGATTCCGTTAAAAGTCGTAAAAGATATACGCTGTATGCGTATTATTATTCATTATTAGAACAAAGTGCGGTAAATCACTGCACTGTTTATCCAAATTTATAGAACAATAGTGACGCATTCCATATAGGAGTCTTGAAAACAAGGGTTTCGCAATATATACATATAAGGTGCACTTGGGTTAGACCGTCAGTCGTGAGACAGGTTAGTTTCCTACTGATAGGTATAGTATATGTATATAATTTATTAAACATTAATTACTTGGAAGCCAGTTTATTGCTGCTTATTAACTAGTGATTATTTTGTTTACAGAATTGTATTTATTATAAAAGTTCATACCAATGTGGTACCCAGGTAGGAATACGAATTTATCATAATATTGTTTTATGATTTTATCTTTTGTTGTATCGACATGTTGTTGATTTAAATCGCCTAACACCAACGTTCAAGTGGTACTTGGTATTTTTTTACCGTGGATGTTAAGTGCGTTGCCGCCGCCTCCATCTTGGCCGAACATACATTGCGATAAATTGGCAAAGTGCCAAGTAACAAGTACAGAACGGTGTGTATATGGTGTCTTCATTGCTTAAACGTGTTGCTCAGTGACACGTTTTTTTGATTACTGATCATAATTTCAGATGGACCCCCTTCACATTTTTTTTTTGTTTTGCAGATAAAGATATCCCAGTGTCAAGACTGGACGAGGCACTGGTAACTTTCTGTCGTCGTGACGTAGACATACCGCCAGGAGACATGGACGATGCTAAAGAGGTGCTACAGACTATTATCGATGCGGTACGACCGACATTTGAAGAGTTGGTTATCAAGAGGTACAACGTTCCTATAACAAATTGGGTCTATACCGGCAGCGTATTCGAGGGACTGAAAGTGACAAAACCTGACGGATTTGAAGTCATGCTGGTAATGGATGTGTGGCACCCTCATCGGCGAAACCCAGCGCGTGACCAGATGGCGATATTCCACGGCCTGGAAGGTTACGACTATATTAACATCACCGAAGGCGTAAATGACGGATTCGGTAATTTCGCCTCAAGCGTCGACGGTACCGGCACAGTCCTCCATTCCGGTAAAATAGCCAAGCTGTTTCAAGGCATACTGGAAAGAACCTTGAAGGCAGCAAAGAAGGATTCTTCATTGAGGGGGATGGACATACGTGTGGACAGGACCCATCCTGCTCTACACGTCACTTATCGAGACAGAAATAGACGACTGAAACACCTGAAAGTCGAATTTATTCCAACAATCTATCATGTTGACAGGTACAATATTCTAAAATATCATAAAATTCACTATAATGACTAGAATATCATGTGGTGACATATGCCAGAACTAGTGACAATGACAAGAATTATGTGAAAAAAAAACCACATAAAAACAGAAACACAAAATAGGCCCTAACCCCAGGACATTATCACAAAAACACACGAACAGATGGTTTTATATTTGAATAAAGACGTTGAAACACTGAAACAAATATCGGCTATCTGGTATTCGTATAATTTCCTTAACTTCAATAAATTTGATTAGGACCCGCGGGAGTCAACATCCATGTTTCACTACTTTCAGATCTCCGCAGTCACGTGTTAACCCTCAGGTGTTTTAATTTTAATATGCTACTATAAAATAATTTATTTTAGCTAAAATTAATTTTCGCTGAGAAGACATTCTAACTTTTTTTGTATGAATTTTCCGTTTTCTGTTTTCTATTATATTTGGATAAAGACGTTGCAACACTCAAACAAATATCGGCTATCTGGTATTCGTATAATTTTTCTTAATTTGACGAGTTGAAAGTAAAACATTGTAAACAAAAAAATTTCAGTGGATTGTATATTCTCTGATTAATCGCATCAGTGAAAATAGCGAAAATAAAGTCCAAGAAAAAATACTCTAGAAATCTTGTGTTGTTGGTAGAAGAAATTAATTATTCAGATCGTTCCCGCATGCGCAGTAAGCATGATTAAACAGTTGTTAATATTTGCTGACTAATGTCTAAGCTTAGATTATTTATTTATTTATTTATTTATTTATTTATTTATTTATTTATTTATTTATTTATTTATTTATTTATTTATTTATTTATTTATTTATTTATTTATTTATTTATTTATTTATTTATT